ACCGTTGTCGTACTGCCACCTGTTGATGTCTCTAGCAGACTCGGTGCACTAAACTCACAATTAGGAACTCGAATCAGGTTCACAATGGACAAGTCACTCCCACTGCTTCGTTCTGCTATTCTCTCAATGAAAGTTCTTCCAATAGTCCTCATTGTTGACATGTTTGGCACTAATGCATTTACCATGGCACGCGACCTCAAGATGCTTAGGTTTGTGTTTTTCACTTCCCGTGCATGGATTCTTGCTCTTCATGTAAACATTCCTATCATCCACAAGGAGCAGCTAGACCGGCATGTTAAACACCATGAACTGCTGCAGATTCCGGGTTGTAAACCGGTTCAGTGTTGTCGCTTAAAGATGAACCAATGGTGTTCGAGGGCTTTATGAAAATGTGTGCATAGGAGACGCTGACGGGATTCTGGTGAACACATGGCAAGAGCTTGAGCCAACGACACTTAAAGCTTTATTAAGTGGTGAAGTCATAAAGGGAAAGATTTATCCGGTCGGACCGCTAATGAGAGGCATCGATTCCAACCGGACGGAGAAGGATCATCATCAGGTCTTAAATTGGATGGATCGGCAACCAGCTAAGTCTGCGAGAGTGGCAAGAACATGGATCCGTTTGGATTAACGACTGAAAAAGTAGCTAATGTAGAAGTAAAGTTGGGTAAAAACTAAATTGAATAAGCTGAATTATGTTTGAATTGGAGTTTAAAAAAGCTAGTTTGCAACAGTAAGATTAGTAAAAAATTATTTGGATTATAGTTGAGTAAAAGTAAGTTTGGTTGTAAAATGAGCAAAATGAGTATGAATTTTAATAAATAATGAAACATGATAAAAAAATAAATTTTTATAATATAATGAATTTAAATTAATTTAATATGAAAAAGTGAAATTTAATGGGTGATTTAAAATTTAAAATTTTAAAAATTAAAAAAATATTTTAAAAACGAATCTCCTTGGGCGATAGAGTAATGAGCTTTTATGTTAATCTGAGAGGGGTCATGGGTGATGAAAGCTTGGTTAAAAAAAAAAACGAAGTGAATAGGGAATAATGGTAGAAGTGGGAGAACAATAAAGGAGGAAATTTTTTTTAAAAAAAAAGGGACCCTCTGACAGCAACACAATCGTGGGAGAGCTGAGGTGAAAAAAAAAAAACAAAAAATGTTGAAATGAGAGAATATGACAGAAGTGAGAGAAAAAAAGCTCTAGTAGAAAATCAGAAAATTGGCCTCAACACATCACAGCAGTTAAAAGCCATAATAAGCTCTTCAATAAGCGACAAAATTCAGCTTGAGTCACAACGTATGTTTGCCAGCTTAAGGGTGTGTTTGGATTAGTGGTGGAGAAGTAACTTTTTTTTCAATCTGACTTTTACAGAAGTCAGATTGGATAAAAGTCAGATATGGTAATGTGATTTATGTTTGGATTGGATTTTGAAAAAAAGTCAGTTTGAGAAGCTGAAACTTGTTTGGATGATAAATGTAAAAGTAAGTTTGGATGTAAAATGACTTAAAAGGACATGAATTTTATTAAATAGTATATATCTAATATTAGATATATATAATGTGACTATTTTTTAAGAAGGAAAATAAAATTATTAAAAGTAAATAAATATAATTTATTATTAGAAAAAAATTATATGTATAATGTGGCCATTTTAAAAAAAGTAATGAAAATAAAATTATTAAAAATAAGAAAATATAATTTATTGTTATAAAGGAATTATATATATAATGTGACAATTATAAGAAATATGACTTGTTTTTTCTAAAATACCATACTCATCTTTCTTAATACCCCATTTAGGATTGTGCATGAGGCCCGCATGTCCAATATGCCTGTCTGAGCTCGCAAAAAAAAAAAAAAAAAACCTAGCCCAACCCAACCAAAAGCTGCCCAAGCAAAAATGAGTATTTTTGGGCAAGGCTAATTCATGGGGAGGGCTAGGCCATGGGTAGGGTATGCTGCCCTCTTGGCAAAAAAAAAAAATAATTATATCTATTATAATATATAATATAATATTATTTTCAGTAATTATCCTCTTTTATTTTGGCTAAAAAAATTAGGTTAAATTAGAAAAAATGAGAGAAATATAAAAATTATAATTATATAAAAGAACTAAATATAAGATTAAATATGCTAAATTAGTCCTAGTCAAATTTCTTTCTTTTCATCTTACCTCCAATTTTTTAAAACAAAAAAAACCAACTTTCAAATCTTGTGCTTTTACATGACTATAAGAATCCGCCAATTATATGAATAAACTAAACAATTAAACTGTAGAATTAGCTCGGTTATTAAATGTTTTAATTATTAAATATTTTTAAACCTCCTATAAGGAATCGAAGGCTGAAGAACAAGACTACATAAGCCTTACATATATGAGTGATTGAGTCATTCGTGATAAATCTTTTTTTTCCCTCTCACCTTGCCTCAAAATACGATAATTGAATATATATATATATATATATATATATATATATGGGGCATGGGTAAGGTGTCACTAAATTGGGCTGGAAAGCCTACCCTGCCTAGCTCGCTGTTGTCCAGCCCAAAATGGCTAGGGCTTCTACCTGGCAGGGCCGCGTAGCAAGCTGCATTTCTTTCAGGCTGGGCATCGGGCAGGGGGTTTGCCCTGCCTAGCCTTATCCACGTGCAGTCCTAACCCCATCTTCCTCTTTTACTTGATTATGGTTGAAGGAGTATCCATAAGGGTAATTTAGAAAAAACTAATAAATATGAGAAATAGGTCTTATATTTAAAATCAAAATCAACTTAATAATTGGGTCCTATATTAAGGACCGGAGGAGTATATACCTTTTTCCAAATTCAAAGCTTATAAATAAATCAAAATGGGGGGGAGGGAGTAGTAAAGATAGGAGAGTATAAGAGTAAAAAGGATAGGTGATTTTCGCTATCTAGTTTTGTAGATTAGCGGACCTTGGAGTGATAAAGACGTTAGGTTTGGCTCAAGCTGAACAGAATTAAAATTAAAGAGGAGTACTAGCGGCACATGATTCTAAACTTTCATTTAATCAGGTGATCATCGCCATGTGCATTTCGACCATGTGGAACATGCAATCCTATTTAAACCATACTTACTACTATAAAAAAAATAGAAATTAAACGAAACATTGCAACCTTAAGAACAGAGAAATTCATACCAAATGCATCACCATGTGGAATATGTAATACTACTATAACATTGAAAACGTGATTAAAATTGAATACTCCTTTGGTTCTTAAGGTAGAGAGAGAAGGTTTTTCTTGATTATATTCATAAGTTATTTCATTAAATTTTTAGTATAAATATATTATTTTGTCCTTTATTTATCATAATGTAGATAATTCTTTTTTTTTTAAATGTGTGTATATTAAATAAGGGTAAAGTTAAAAAGTTGTTATCGTTTAATAGAGAGTTAATGCAGTTTAAGGTTTTCTTTAATCTATATGTAACATGCTAAAAGTACCTTATAAATAGGACTAGAAGAGTAAGACTTAATCAATATTCCTTCAATCTTGTTTATAAATTACTTCTAATATACTTGATCAAAACCAATAAAAACATTAAACCTTATTCACTCTGCCTTAAAACTTAATGATTTTTCAATTTTATCCTTACTTAATACTCCTCTAGTCCTTAATATAAGACCTATTTAACTAATTTGATTAGATTAAAAAAATTAGTTAAGTTAGTTAATTATAAGAAATGTGATACATTTTTCCTAAAACACCATAATCATCTTTCTTAATACCCCCTCTCCCTCTTCTACTTGATTATGGTTGAAAGAGTATCCATAGGGGTAATTTAGAGAAAATTGATAAATATGAGAAATGGGTCTTATATTTAAGACCAAAACTAACTTAACAATTGGGTCTTATATTAAGAACCGGAGGATTATATACACTTGTTGAAAAAGTAATAATCTGCACAATAATAAATGAAGATAAAATGATACATTGATGCTAAAATTAAATTTAGTAAAGTAATTTTTAAATAAGAAAAAAAGAATATTCTTTCTAGGTAATTTAGAAATCCTAGGTAAGTTCTAGTGACAACCAGGCTATCAAAATTATCGCAGCTAAGATTTGTGGTTAGTCGAGTGTTGTAATAACTAACATGGTTAGGCCACAACTTAACTGATTATATAAACCCATAGTTGAGCATAAAAATGTCTGGACCACTTCATATAGCAATGAGTCTCATCTTTACTAAGCTTTATGCTAGTTTAGACGGTAAACGTGGCTAATCGGCAATCCATGAAACTCCATTGAGTCTAGCACCATTCCCATAAATACCAGTGATTATTTGAAGAATATACAAGTGAGCTTCGAGTCTCTCGTCTCTTCTTCCATAGACAAGTTCTTCTACCTTCTTCTTCTTCTCCAACACCATCAACATGGTCTTAACTGTTGGAAACCCTAGCCTTGCTTTGCTCTGTAGCCCAGGAATGGGCCATCTCATTTCAATGCTTGAGCTTGGCAAGTGTCTGATGTCAAACGATGGCTTCGACGTTACCCTCTTCATTGTGACCACTGATTCTTCAACCACACATTCGCAGATAGTCCAACAAACTTCATCAAACCCTAAAACCACTGCCGCCCTAAACGTCGTCGTATTCCCACCTGTCGACGTTTCCAGCAAACTCAAGCCATTGACCTCATCATAGTTCATAGCTCGAATCAGGTTAACAACGGAGGAATCGCTCCCCCTTCTTCACTCTGCCATTCTCTCAATGAAGCTTCGTCCAACAGCTCTCATCGTTGATTTGTTCGGCACCGATGCTTTCGCCATGGCACGTGACCTCGAGATGCTTACCTACGTGTTTTTCACTTCCAGTGCATGGGTTCTTGCTCTTGCTGTGCATGTTCCGGTTATGGAGAAGGAACTGTTAGACAGGCATGTGAAACTCCATGAACCGCTTCCCATTCCGGGTTGTAAACCGCTTCGGTTCGAAGACACCATGGAACCGTTATTGCTTAAAGATTAAGTACCAATGGAGCACGAGATGTTCTTACAAATAGGATCAGATATAATAAATGCTGATGGAGTTTTGGTTAATACATGGGAAGCCCTTGAGACTAGCGTGGTTCGAACTTTAAGAAGTGGGATTATTAAGGAAAAGATTTATCCGGTTGGACCGTTAGTGAGAGGCGGGGATCCGAACCGGACTAAGATGGATCATGATCAAGTTTTGAGTTGGCTAGATCGGCAACCAGCCGAGTCGGTTATTTTTGTGTCATTTGGAAGTGGTGGGACCATGTCAGAGGCACAAATGGAAGAAATAGCTTACGGTTTGGAGTTAAGTCAACAGAGATTCATTTGGGAGGTTCGACCGCCACATGGAGAGAAAACCGCTACGAATCACGGTTCATTGTTCAAGCTGGGGGACGGTAAAAACACGGACAGCTTGCTAGCGAACTTCTTGAACAGGAGCCACCAGCTTGGACTTGTGGTTCCCATGTGGGCCCCACAGTCGGAGATTCTTGAACATTCTTCGGTTGGGGCATTCATGACACATTGTGGCTGGAACTCCACGCTTGAAGCGATCACCAACGGTGTGCCGATGATGGCGTGGCCGATGTATGCGAAGCAGAAGATGAAAGCAGCGGCGCTAACGGAGGAGCTGGGGGTGGCGGTGAGGGTGAAGAACGGTGGGAATAAAGCAGAGGTGGTGGAGAGGAATGAAATACAGAGGCTGATAAGGAGAGTAATGGTGGAAGAAGGTGTGTGCATGAGAGAGAGGGTTAAAGAACTCAAACATAGTGCAAAACTAGCTTTGTCGGAGGGTGGATCGTCTTTTAACTCTTTTCATCAATTGGCCAAAAATCTCAAGTGGATATGAATTTCAAATGTATATAATGATGTGTCAACATAAATCCATTAATATATAATAAAGTTTACCGAAGTCATTTTAATTTCAAAGTTAATCCTTGTATACTGCCTCATGGACTAATTATAAGAGCTAGTTAACTAATTTAAAGAGATTAAAAAAATAAGTTAGGTTAGTTATTTGTAATAAATAGATGTTTTCTTTCATAAAATATTTTTGCTAATCAATTGTATTGACTAGCACTATCACTATTAGAAAGATTAAATTAGAAAAAAATATATAAATACGAGAGATAAATTGGATTGAGATATTATATTTATGGCCAAAATAAAATTCAAACAAGGTCTTATATTGAGCACTAGAGGTAGTACTATGTAATACGTGAGACATATTCACATCTAGTTATTTTCGTTTTGCATTATATAATTCTTTTCACAACAAAATAAAGGGAAAATTAGGGAGAGGGACCTAGTGGTAACAATATTTATGGGAAAAGATCTTAAAAATTGTATTTATTTGGAAGGACCAAATACTAAAATATAAATCTAAAATTACCAATTTGCCCTTAACAGAATCCCATATATTATCTCTCATCACATCCTATAATTTTCCTTTTTTTAAAACAAAATAATTAAATTTTATTCAAACTAATTGGAATTAAAAAGTTAAGAAACAATTCTAACTAATTAAATTAAATTCAATTAATAAGTAACACTAATTAATTTATTTGTCTATCATTTTTAAAAAAAATAAAACTCTTTTTTCTGGCTTCTTGAATAATGAGCCGATCAAAATCACGTAGTTGAATTAAAAAATTAAAAAAATGATATAATAATAAATAATAATATATAACTAATCCATAATTAATAAGAATAAAAAATATCATGTAGAAACTTGAATTTTCTTACTCAAACTTAGCACAAATATTTATTGATATAATAAATTTCTCATGCCATTTTTTATTTTAAAATTTTAATTTTATTAAGTAAGAAGATTCAACTTATTCAAATAAAATAATAGTATGAAATGGATTAGCAAAAATATGGAACAACTTTTTTTCCGTGAATGGTAGAACTTCATTGCCTTGCTGACTTTTCAAAAAGCCTACAAAAAATTATTAATTAAAAATAATGGAAAAATGAATTACTAGCGTTGGATATTAATTTAATTAATTAGAATTATTTTCTGACTTTGAAATTAAATTAGTTTGAATTAATTCAAATAAATTCTAATTATTCTACTAAATGATATGAAAATAATTGGAGGTGGTGGGAGAATATGGGGGTTGTGGTGTGAATAGGGGTGATTTCAGTCTTTTAAAGTTTATATTTTAGTATCCGGTCCTTTTAAATAATTAAGATTTTTAAGATCCTTTATAATAAATATCATTTCCTCCTGGTCCCTCTGCCTAATTTTCCCTAAAATAAATTGTAAATGTTTAAAATTTACCCTCATTATATTTCTCACCTAACATCCTGATGTTTTTTTTTAAGTTACATTTAACATCCTAAAGATTAGGTGTCTTGTACTGGGTACACAAAAAATGAAAAATAAAATCATAGGTAAAATTACATCACTAAGAATATCAGGATATTAAATGCACATAAAAAATAATGTGAGAGATAAATTTGCACATTTATCCTAGAATAAATGCCAAAATTCAGAAAAATAAAACAATTTTTTGGCAAAAAAACACAATTTGATGTGCCTCAATTTTTATATAAATTTAGACAATTCATGCCGAGGACCCCAAAAAAAATGGATATTAAATCTGATAGGCACTGAATCAAATGGGTCTAGCCTTTTATCAATTCTTATTGTGGTTTCATTTTATCAAATCATCAAACGTTCTGGCCAATATTATTGTGATCTGTTGATCATTTGCGGATGATAATTGCGGTGACAGAGCCAAAATCTTAGACTGGGGAGCGTAATTTTATTTTTTTTTAAAAATCATTATTCATAAAATAATAATTTAAATTTTAAACATTAAAAAATTAATTATATACTTTATAATTTCCGTTTATATATTTGAATTCACATATTTTCAAATCTTCGTATAATAAGCTCATGATCATTTGCAGGGACGGATCTGCTTTAGGGTCCTTGAGTTCTTCCCCCACAGTTTCATCGTTTTCTCTAAAATGTGTCAATTTTTGTCCGCAAAAAGGGAAAGAAGTTATTTATTTTATAGGCTCCCCAAACATGTTTTTGAGAGCATCCTGTTGCACCAAAAATTGAGGTCCAAACTCCAAACCCAAAACTAATTAAGCCCTCATAATCACTTAAAAAAAGAAAAAGAAAAAGCTCTCTTGCGTATAAAACGAAATTTCTCTCACATATTTCAAAATCACTTAAAATTGATGCAAAGTCAAAAGCCAGGTCAGGGTCCATGCCTTTATGTTCTTTTAAAAAAAAAAAAGAAAAAGAAAATTGAAGGGACATGTATCAATAGCCTGAAATTGCAGACAGTATTGAACCCAATGACCTCTCATTTACAGAGAAACTTTCATACCACCAGACTAGCAGCTAAGGTGATTAGCCTCCATATTCTAGAAGCATTAAATACCTCCTCTTTGAATCTATGTGCACCCCCACTCTCACGAACGCACAACAAATCCCGTAATGGAACTCCCCGTGGCGACATATATTTGGATGCTGGCTTCCTCCTAGATAAATGATCCAATGTATTGCTATGTTTCATCCTAAATATAACATTAATTTGTAGTGTAATTACTTTATAAACTGGATCTTATATTTAGGACTAGAAATTGTATTTAAGCATGATTTTGAGTTTCAATTTTGCAAATGAAAAAACAAACTTGTTAAGAAATATTTCTCTTAATTAGAACCTAATTTCATTTGAACTCAACTTAGTTGATAATAGCATATGCTACATAATTTTTGTTTGACAAATGGAGCTAGGTACGGCATGGCTACTGAAATTAATAGAACAACTTAGATGATCTTAAAACAATGCAAGCAAGTTCGGCATAACGAGGAGCTCTACCCTCATTATCTCAAAATGCAACAAAAAAATTAAAAGAAAATCACAAGTAATATTCTAGATTTATCTTTAGTTGACTTTAAAACAAGAAAAGTACTAGCTACTTGGTCTTACATTAAAATATAATCAGAATGAAAGAAGATTAAGTAAACAAAAAAAGATCCATTAACTTAATTAACACTTTAAGGTTTTGAGTCAATAATGTATAGTAACAAATGCGCTCATATACTTTCTCTAAACATTCAATAGACTCTAACTATATAGAATATTTCTTTACACAATCATATATAAGCGATAAACGAACTCCCTTTCGTATTTTATATAAGACGCTTTCCGAAAGAAATTAATGGTTCTATATATTGGTCACTAAGTGTGTCATTAATTAACTGTTTTTAAAATGTTATACTTATTACTCCTTTGATTTTTAATATAAGACCTAACTGCATTACAAAATGTGTCTTATATTTCAAATCAGAGGAGTACAATTTATTAGGATAATAGTTAAAAATTGATGTAGTGAATCTCTATGTTCTTAAGGAGAGGTAGAGTTAGAAAAAAAATTATTTTTAAACAAAGTTAATGAGTCAGCTACATTTCTTTGGTTACATTGAGACGCTTAAATATGACTTATGCTCCCTTCAAATCAAATTCTTGTTATAAACTTTAAATAAGTAATTTGTAAATAATAAAAAATCGGTTAAAAGCAATAAAAAAATAAGAAATATATTTTTATATTCAAATATGTTTTTATAATAAATGAGAAAAAGAATGAAAGAAAATGTATGGAGAAATATCATAAGAGGGAGTATAGCAAATGAGAGATAATAATAATTAAGGACAATATTGAAAAAATATATTAAACGTTGAAAGAATAATAACTAAGGACAACATTTAAAAAAATACATTGAATGTTGAATTAACTCAAATTGAAGTTTGTGAAATACAGTATATACCTTTTCTAAATTTAAAGCTCATAAATAAGTTAAAATGGGAGGGAGGGAGGAGTAAAGATAGAAGAGGGTAAGAGCTAAAAAGGATAGGTGATTTTAGCTATCTAGTTTTGTAGAGTAGCGGACCTTGGAGAGATAAAGACGTTAGGTTTGGCTCACATTGAACAGAATTAAAATGAAAGAGGAATGCAAGTAGCGCATGACTCTAAACTCACATTTAATTAGGTGATCATCATCATGTGCATTTCAACCCTGTGGAATATGCAATCCTATTTAAGCCATACTTACGACCATAAAACATAGAAACTACACTACAAAAAAACATGCTTTTAGCGACGGACTAGCGATGGATTAGCGACGGAATTTGTTCCGTCACTAATTCCTTTGTTGCTAATTGATTAGCGACGGAATTGAAATTCCGTCGCTAATTAGTGACGGATTAGTAATGGAAAATACCGCGTCGCTAATCCATCGCTAACCCGATTTTTTTAAAAATAAAATAAAATGCCATGTGGCACCTCTACCAATTGCCACGTCATCACTGGAGACCACCTCCACGTGTCTCTGCCTGCCACGTGTGCTGCCACTTCACCTCTGCTGCCACATCACATGTCACTTTTGCCTGTCACGTGTCGCCACCACATAATTTCCTCTTCAAAGTAACTTCTCCATGGCTCGAACCCAGGACCTCCTCTGTGTGCGTGTGCGGCTTTACCAGTTGAGCTGCAATGAACCTGTTGACTTATTATGTAAAATTAAATATATATAATATTATTTTACACAAACAATTATATATATTATTAAAAACTAAAAATATACTATATGATAATTTTAATCATAACTATTTTAATGAAAAAATAATTTTTTAATAATTTTTTATTCTTAAAAAATATTTTTAATATAATTTTAATTTCTAACCACACTAATCTTGAATTTTAAATCATAAATAATTTTTTTATAAATATTTTTTAAATTTATTTTTTAATTAACATTGATAAGATATACAATTTAATGATATATGTATTATGTTACATTATACTATATTATCTATATGT